ACTTGCAAAAACTGGAAACAGTTTGAAAAACTGAGCTTCACAGAGCTGCAACAGGTTACCTGCAGGACACATAACTGTAGTAAAGCAGAACAAACGGATGAGGAGGAACACTTGATCTCAGGATTTAGATGCATCTCCACTGCTGAGCAGATGTGTTCAGGTGTCTGAGATCAGACAGTCAGTGAATGCAACAATCATGCTAATCATATAATTGCATCTGCTGGTGAGGCTCATCCAAATAACATCTGGTTTAGGCAATATCGCTCACTCATGTGAAAGTAAAGATATGAGATTTGAAAGGACAAGGACATGGGGAATTTTACTTAATTAAATGTTTCTTACATGTACTTATTACGCAAGAGAGCAGAACCATGTTATTGTGCACATTGTTTTGTTTCAATGACCATTTGAATTTGACAAAGTTGATCTTATTTTAACAACTTTATGTACTGTTTGATTTGTGAGTTAGTTGTTTTATAGTTATTTTATAAAAAAAAGAGAAAAGGTCAAGCCTGTTGTGTGCAAAGTCATAATCAGCTGAGTGCATGTTTATGTCAGAAAAGAGTTTAGGTAGAAATGGATCAGTATACTGACCAGTGATGATTGATTGGCTGATATTGATATAATGGCCAACTGGAATTCTTTTACCAGTATTTATCTGTTCTTTCACATTAATTTTGCTCTGGCCAAATATTCAAAGAAAGGAGAAGAAGAGATGAATGCTGTGAAAACAAAATAAGCAAAAAGAGAAAAATATTGGTATTTTTATTTTACTGTTAGGTTTTTGGGATAAATTATTATTTTTAACATCTAACATCTCAGAGTTTCACAGTTTCACAGTTCATTGTTAAACCTAAGAGCACTTTATGTCATGTTATGTATGCCACTGTGAGATGTAGCCTATTGTACAAAACAGTTTATTTAAGTAGCACTCTTAAATATACTTCGCTCACTACTTAAATAAATGCATGTAGTGCCTGCATGTGTATTTCAGGATGTATGGCAGTTTTTGTTTTTGTCTGAGTGATTGCAGCCTGTAAGCGTGACATGCTATAGGTAACATCTTTCCCTTTCTCCTCAGTGATCTACTGCTTTGTGTACTATCTGTGGAT